TCCGACTATAGGCGACTGAAGTCCTATCGAATTGGGGTTACAAGAGGGTGAACCCGCTTCGTAATGCCTAGACCACCGGAAGAGTTGAAATGCCCCGACAGTGAATCTCATGCAGGCCGCGGCAAGTGTTAGAAAAGCCTACCACTGATCATAGTCGCCGACACTCGAAAACAGGTTTTCAGACGCACTCATATTCAATTGTTATTTATCAGTGATCAATCCGGCCATCTGCATAACAGAAGTTATCTCAGGACACTTTTCAAATAGAGCAGGTCTAGACCGAACTCCTTATAACATTTACAGAGACCCAACAGTACCACCATGAGCAATCAATACAAAAAGAAAGTTCCTCATAGGGGTTTTATACCAGTGTTGGTTGAAAAACAGTACACAACAGCAGTAGAGCACATATAAACTCTGACACCACCACACGTAAAGTAAAGCAATGGAATAAAAACAGCAACAAAGGACCTATTTGACAGAACAGGATGATCTGACACTTACAAAGTAAGGCACAAAGAAGCAGACCAGGCTTTGGTAAAAAGCATCCAGGACGGTGACCCAGAACATGTAGGGGACGTAGACCTGCAGAGAAACAGGATTCATACGTTAGTCCTTCTAGACACAGCCACATCAACAGGAATGACTCACTCTTCCCAGTGGGAAGAAGAGGAGACACGATGTCCATCTTTATACACAGTCTACGGTTGTAGGTTTCTGTTTGTGTGTGTATGTGTGTGTGTGCTGTCACCTTGGAAGTCTGTGCAGCCCGGTAGAGCTCAGGCAGCTCCATCAGAGTGTCTGCAGGCGTGTCTCGGTCCAGGACGCCGTAGATGAGAGGAGGGACGGAGGTGAAGAGCAAGTTGAAGAGGATGAGCACCCAGGAGTTGCTCATGACGCTCCCAGAGAAACCACAGAAGAACTGATACCAGAACAGCAGATTGACGTACATCTGCGGACACAGACGGACACACAGGCAGCGGTGAGGGCTGTTTGTTAATCGTTTGTTTGTTTGATTGATTGATCAGTGTTCCCCAAAGCCCAAGCTGGCTTCCTTAAATGTGTTGCAGCTCTACTCACCACATTCTTGTAGATGAAGTAGAGGATCATGTTTGCGAGGCGAGAGTAACACCAGTGGCCGTGGACCAGCAGCAGCTTACTGAGGTGTTTAAACCTGGAGATGGCAAAGTCACTGGACATCACAGCCTGGGGAACGATACAGTCACAAAAATATTAACACACAAGCAGAAACGTTTCAAAATGGGAGCCATGGCTCTGCTGATATGAAGAAATACATTAAAAAGAGTAAATAATCTGTGTTAGTTAGGCCCTGTTAGTTCATACTGGCAAGTGAAACCATAATGAGAGCAGTGTACAGTCTTTTATCAACAAGGTATATTTCAGTGCAAAACTTGCAGCCTATAAACAGTCCTTGTCTCAACTGGGCCAGCTCATAGAAATAAATAAATAAGGACAACATGATGTTGTTGTATGTTCATGTGTTTATGTTTCTCCCAATGACGTCACCAGCGCAAGATGGCAGCGGCCATATGCGGGATAACGTGGTGGTGGGCACTCACCTGCATGCCCTCCTGACCAGATATCCCGATGCCCACATCTGCCACCTGAATCATGCTGACGTCATTTGCTCCGTCACCTTAATGAACAAAAACTGCTTTAATTGTCCTCCATGTTTATGGTATGTACAAACCAAATCACAAACACTACCATAAAAGGTTTAACAGTAACTACTGCCCCTGTGCTTGGGCCTTGATTCCACCGGGCATGGCTCTGTAATGTTGTTACTAAAAAGCTGTTTTGGTCCGTCCTGCACATGGCTTGATGCACTACCAGTTTCAGAAGTTGAGCATTTTGCCTGCCAGATTTAATTCACTTGATTTTGATTTGAAATTGAAACTGAATTGAAAAAAATGTCATGAGAGATATATACACATTCTCTTGGAATTCTTTCAAATTATTCATTAACATGCCACACATGAAAAACTTCCTAGCAGTTTTCCTACAGGCTTTGAGTCACTTACCCACAGCCAGGGTCATGACGCTAAGCTGGTCCCGGACCAGCCGGACCACCTGGCTCTTTTGCAGCGGGGTGGACCTGCAGCAGATGACTGCGTTGCATCTGCAGCTCAGTTCCAGGAAGTCACTCTTCAGCTCCTCCTGCAGGGCCCATTCTAGTGTGTGGCCGTCTATGGCCAGAACAAAGCCAGCCGCGCTGCCCGAGGATGATTCCTCATGGTCCCCCGCTGCAGTCAGTACCGTCAAGCTGCCTTTGCCACTCTGCACTTCCAGTTTGAGCTGCTCGAGCAGAGGTGCACAGGCATCCTGATGGAAAAGAAATCCGATCTAGTACGGCTGTGTAGAGTTACAGTACATTTACTTTGTTGCATTTTAGGGGTCCTGATATTTTATTTTGTGATATTGTATCTTTGCATCTGTAAAAATCTGATGTATTTTATAATTATCAGTAGAGGCCCTGTGCCTTTATTGTTCAGAAATGTGACCAATAAGCCCAACAGCAGTGCTACCATCAATCAGCTGCTCACCTTGCTTCCACAGCTGGCTGTCAGCAGCTGGTCATTGGGACGGAGGAGTTTGCAGGCATAGGCGATGTTAATGGCCGTCTCCTTTTTGTCTCCTGTGAGGACCCAGACTTTGATCCCGGCCCTCTGGAGAGCTTCAATGGTCTCCGGGACCTCCTCCTGCAGTCTGTCTACAATCCCTGTGGTACCTGAACCCACACAGACACAGAGACACTGTAAGCACCCCCAGCTCATATAAGAGTGTTCCATGTGTGAGCTGCAGCGATGGTTCTCCTACCCAGCAGGGTGAGGTTGGTCTCCAGTCTCTGAGCGGACTCCAGCAGCAGCTCCTCTCTGTTCTCTATGCTGCTCTCTGCCAGCAGCTGTCTCTTCAGCCACACCTCATACTCCTCTTCCTCCAGAATCTGCTCCAGACACACAGAACACACAGCCACTCAGTAAAACACGCACACACACCTTCTTACATACAGGGGTGGACGTGATTCTAAAAGCAGGGAATAGAACAGAGTGTGTGTGGGCACTGCTCACACAGCTTTATGACTACACTTCATTAATGAGACAAGAGGAAAATAAGAGAAACATCTATGAGGGCACTGTGTTGTTACAGTGTTAGGAGAATGACTGTTAGCCTGTCTACGGCAAGTTCATCACCTAACAAAGTGTGCTAAAGACAGGGCTGGCTGGCAGAAGTAGGCTGTGTGAAACTTAATTTACAACTTTTACAACTATCATTCTTGGCTCTGATTGGTTGTTTTTGTTCAGGTCCGGTGGATTCTTGCAATTGCCGTTAGGAGCACTAGGAGTAGCCCGAGGAACCTGATTTCTTCACAGGTTATCTGTCTCATGTACTACTGTCAGGATATAGTGAAAGTTTCAGCAATAATGACAAAAGGTTATTTTTATAAAAATTACCTACTGCAGCTTTAATTTACCCAGTTAGATGTGAATATTTAAAAAGGAAAGGCGCGAGCATCAGAGAGGCATCGGGGAGAGACGCTGTACGGAGACGGAATATTTTCACATCTAACTCTGTTAATTACTGGTGATTGATGGTACAGTGGAAAGACAAACCAAGATGGTTTATTTTAGCTCAGCCCCCAACCCCCAACCTATCTGTAATTCCAGCTCTTGGCAAGTATTTTAAAAGACAGATTTGGGGGTGGAGAGGGCTGAGTGAAGTTGCTTTAATGAGCTGTCCTTTCAGTTAGAGCCACAGGACTTCATCATAGAAACTCATGTGATGAAAATGTGTATTTGGGATAAAAAAATTATTCTGTTTCAGCGTTACCTTTTTAGCAATGCACAGAGTCCGGAGTCCATCTCTGGCGTAACTGTCTAAATGTTTCTGGGTTTGTTCTCTGATGTGACTGTACATCTCCTGAGCCTGCTCTGCACCTGAACAGAACAGAATGACAGTGATACACAGTTATTATTACCATTATTGGTCTTTAGATCAGTCAGGAGACAAAGTTCTTCAGTCAGGGCTGTATGTCCAGATTCCTTCTGTTGATTACCTTTAGGTGTCTCGCTTAGGTCCATGATGACGGAGTCGGCTCCCTTGGTGTAAACCACCACCTGTCCTGAGAGTGGGTGGCGGACCACCACTGACATCCTCTTCCTGTTGGAGTCGAAGGGCAGGATGTGGAGCAGCTGGACGGCCAGAGAGCCAATTCCTGGCAGGTCTACCAGCAGGCTCTCTGCGGACCGTCCCCTCAGGGTGCAGTGGTACGCCTGGGCTGCGTGGACCAGAGCCGCCTCGTCCGGACTCTCTGCCTCATAAAGCAGCTCCTCATCAGAGTCACTCTCAGAGTCCACTTCTCTTATCACGTCCTCCTCTTCCTGCCTGGCCCCATTTGTCTTTGTGTCCTTGATATTATTATCCTCTGATTCCCTGTCCTCTGCCTGTCCAGCATCTCTTCCTTCCACTCTGGAGGATCCAGAGTCCAGTTTGCGCCTCAGGTTGGAGGTTTCCAGGTTGCTTTCTTGGCCTGCTTCTGATCCATCTGTGGTGCTGTTGGTAGGAGTTGAGAAGGTGAAGGAGCCGGTCTTCCCCCGGGCAAACAGCCTGCTGGTGAAGCTGCGAGGGCTGCCTTTGATCAGCGGAGGGGAGAGCGCTGAGAAAGGAGAGAAACTGAAGCGCTGGAACATCAGCTTGATTTCCTCCAGGGACTTGAGAGGTGTTCGTGCTTCAGGCACCTGCAGGGAAGATAAAGAGAAGAGATCATGGAGTCAGTTTCTGTACTCCTAAACTCAACTGCTCAGTCAGGAGTAGTTTTTTATTAAAATGCTAGTTTTAAAGGTTCACACATGAGATTTAAAACATTAATAAAGCAGCAAACAGCTATTTTTTATGTAAAGATACAGTGGAGTCAAGATGTCACTCCCTCTGCCTGTGTTGCTGTTGCAGCCTCTCTGTGGTTTGTTTCCATAGCCGGTCTGCTCCGTGTGCAGCTGACTATAGACTGAAACTTTTTATCATCTACACCGGTAAATTAAGGATTTATTTCGAGCTGATGATGACCAACAGTGGAAAAGACTAAGAGAGTTTTATTTTATTTCTGTCCCATTCAGGTTGCCACTCTTACAAATCATTTCCCAGGTAATTTTCAGAACATTTTCCAGCAGTATTTCTTACAGGACAGCACTTGCTTATAAATGGTTGTATTAGCTGCAGTTTCAGGCCAACTGACTACATTTATTTGGCCACAGCTCATAAGTAACAATATGAAAGTGTTCATTGCACGTACAATTGACATCACTGTGCACGTATTTATGAACCACAGTAAAAAGTAATTTGATCATTAATAGGTTGTATGCATGTAGATATGAGAATTTTGCCCGGGGCTCTGGAAAAATTAGACAATGCAAGTCAGTTCTGTTTTTGCATTTGGTAAACCTGCTTTAAAGTGTCATACAGCACATTCTGCCAACAGTTTCAAACAAAAAACACACTTAGGTTTACGTAGGCGACCTGAGTGAGGGGCTAAAATGTCAGGACAACAAATTATTTCCAGGATTTTGGTCATTTTAATCAATTTCCAAGTGTTTCAATGATTCGTGGGAACCCTGCCATTGTTTTGATCTGAAATGCTGGTGCTCTAGTGGACATCCAGTGAATTTTCTACAGCATTTAAGCTGAATGCATGACTTGGCAGCACTGATTTTAAAGAAGGACTTAGGAAGGAGGGTTCAATGTTTAGTGCCCTTGGACCAGACAAGTTTCATTGTTTTTTTGTATTGCCTTTCATTGATAGTGACAGCTGAAGACACACAGGAAAGGGGGACAGAGAGAGGGGATGACACGCAGCAACGCACCCGGCACATGGGACACCAGCTCCACCCACTGAGCCAACTGGGCACCCACATGTTTTATTGTTAACACAATATTTTTTATGTAGTCAGCTTTTTGCTTTCTCCTCACCTTTCCACATGCGAATGGAAATGCCCCTGGCCAGGTCCAGCAGTGTAACTCGACCAAAGTCATCCGTCACTCCGGCCAGCGTGTTGCAGGGGGACAGACAGATGGACTCGCCGTGGCGCCGAGAGTCTGGGAGACCAAATCTGGATGGAGGAGGTCAGATTCCAGAGAGAGGAAGATGAAAGAACATCAGGAAGCTTCATATTGTCAATATCACAAGGCCACAATAGGACTGCTGCATTTGTGTTGCAATATCACAACTGGTACCTGATCCCTAAGGGCGTAGGAGGCTCCACCTTGGGCTTCTGTTTCTGCACAGCCTCCTCCTCATTCTTATTCTTGTTCCAACCTAACCATCCACTGATTGGAAAACAGCATGAGAGAGAGATGAAAAGATGGATAACAGATACAGATAAAGTGAGCATGAAACAATTAAGATGATGAATCCATGTAAAGAGAGGATTGGGTAATAAAGGAGAGGAGGGGACTGACACTAGAAAGATAGTGAAAGAAGATTCGAGGGACGATGAAAGCAAACTTTCCTCCCGCATGGATGGCATTGAGCAGACTGGCTATAATTCAGAGTATTGATTGGGCTGCTTTGTGCTGTTAGAGCAGCAGAGGACAGTGCAGCATTCAGTCTTTAAGTGTGTGTGTCTGACAGGAATCACATGCACACACAGGCCCGCAGAAACAGTGGACAACCATTTTTGTCTTTTAAACAATGCACCCAACAAACTAAGATGTGGTTAATCAGTTTCATCCCGCTACTTTGGTATTATTAATCACACAGCTCGTTTTTGTGATTGTTTGTCTTGCTGTATGTTTCAGAAAAGTGCTATTTAAACATATTACAATGAGTTTTTAACTACTTATTAAGCTGTCTGTGTTTCATACTGATTAATCTATAGTTACAAGACCACCAGCAAGAAGACTGGCCATTTCTATATAATTATTCTTAATCCCTGCCACTGGGTCGGATTCGATTGAAATCCCCTTGAAGTCAATGAAACGAGGTGGTGGAAACACTACCGCTTTTGTCCACAGGGGCCGCCAGAATCAATACAAAAGGAAAGTTTCTTGTAGCTGCTTTAAGTAAAATTATGTAAATAATGCAGATAAACTTCCACACACACACACACACACACACACACACACACACACACCTGGCAGCATTGAAGAGGGCTGAGGTGAGTTTACTGGCCACAGCCAGAGCCACATGAGAAAGGAGAGGCTGGGAGCTTCCCTAAAGACAGACAGAGAGACACAACAAACTGATTTACTCTCCAAATTGCACCTACGTTGCCTGTACAGTCATTCATATTGGAAATAAGCAGCCTGACTTGCTCCAAACACTCACCTCTACAGCATAGTAAAAGCCTGTGTACGGCCCACCTCCCACAGTGACATACTGACTCATGGCGGGGGGACTGCCCTTGACAGAAGCATTAAATCCCCCCAGGATAGATGCATTCTTCATTTGGTCAAACACACACAGCGTCATAATTCCTGACAGCAGGAGAGATGGAGAGAGAACAGAGATGAACAGAAATATTGGAAAAGACAATGATAGGAATTAAAGCAGGGAATGCAGCACATGCATATGACGTTACAGCATAATACTTTTACTTTTTATTCATTATAATACATACACACATACAATACATTTTGCGCTTCCCCAGGAAGTTTTTCTTTCTGAAGTTATATGTACAATAAAAAATGCCAGAAAATGCCAAATTCGAGAATCACCTTTAATCACTTTAATCCTGTGATTTAAAATAGTCTCTTACCCACACTACTGTGGTCCATAATAGTGTCCATGTCCTGCAGACCCCACTTCTTATAGGCCAGGGGAGGAGGCTGGATCACATCACTACCTGCTGCTGCCGCTGGATGATGAGACCAGATGATGTACAGTTAGATTACTAAAAAGAGCCTTCATCATCTATTGCCTTTAGTGTGCCTTGGATTTAGCAACAGTTTTAACTGCAGCACTACTAGACGCTCAGCTGAAGCTTGGCTACTAACCTTCTAGACACTGTTTAAGGCTGTATGTGTGTGACAGTGGTAGTGTGTATGGTATGCCTCCATAGTACCTGAATGCTTTGTGGCAACCACTATCCACCCAGCCAGCAAAAAAAACACATTAGTTAACACACTGAAAAATACTAGAATATTTAGCACTAGAATTCCATGACATACCCCATATGCACATATACTGTAAATACTCACAGTTGGGTGCACACATACACACACAAGCAGTAGTACCTCTTGCAACCTGGTTCCTGCAGGCACGCAGAGACTGAAAGAGGCTGAAGCCATCGATGGTGACCAGAGCAGCAGGGTAGAGGATGCTCAACTCTTCATGCTGTGATAGGATCAAATCAATAATTAGACGTCTTTGGGATAGGGTAGGAACAAGTGAACCTTAGAATATTTGGTCATAGAAATAAGTTTTCCTAAGTTCAAGATTTAAAGGTCCAGTGTGTAACATTTAGGAGGATCTATTGTCAGAAATGGAATATATTGCATATATTCTGAACCCAACTTTCAGGCACAGCTCTGACAGGAGGTTCGGCGCTCGCATTACCTGCTCAGTTACTCCAGGATGACGAGGGATCTCATATGTGCGACACTTGAGCCTCAGTACAGGGTCCTCATGAAGCAGCTGGGCCAGGAGCAGAACCCCGCTCTGACGAGCAATAAATATAAATATAATTAATAATTAATAATATAAATATAGACCGTAGTGAATGGTTTCATTTTCCTTTGTCTGCTGATAACGATAAATAATAAAGTGAATTGTTGCACAGGCTATAAAAGTGTTGGAGTACACAAAAAGGAGAGATGACTGCGCTTTAGATTGATGAGGTACCTCTGTGTAGAAGCGGACGTAGCCAGAAGTGAAACCCACTACTACACACGTCCAGTCAGGCCGCCCAGTGGAGCTCCTACGCACACAAACATATACTGTAAAAGCAGCTATGATGACATATACACACACACAAACACACAAGCATTTTGCATGTTCACAGACATTTCATATATTTCCTATATAACTAATTCTTACCTCTTCTGGCTTGCCAGTGGTATACAGACAGAGCTGCTCACACACTCTCTGTGGTGAGAGAAACAGAGACAAAGTAAGATGCTGTGTCTGTAGTTCACTTAGATCATGTCCATTATCTCATGTTTCATTTGTTTAAGCCTTTTTCAAACAACCATACCTTTTCTTTATCATCTGTAGTTTTCCATGTCACTCTGAAATTTATTTTCATTCCTGCCTGTGCATTCCCTTAATTTCCTCATTCCCTCTAAAGTTAACCTAACGTGACTCTTACCCTTCGTCAGTGCTGAGGGTTCCAGTCCAAGACACAGCCAGGGTCATCTCTTCTCTGCCACTGTCATTTGAACGCCACTTAGCTGTAGGGATTATTAAACATTAACAGTAATATATAACTTCTCAGAGTGCTTAGATGTGTGTGTGTGTGTGTGTGTGTGTCTGAATGTCTGACCTGAGAGAAAGACAGCCTTCTGTTCACGGGCCACTACCAGCAGGTCGGAGCAGGGCGACAGGGACACTACACAGTCCTGCAGCCAGGGTCCACTCTGTCCTGTGGTCTCCTCTTCCACCTGCGGGGCAAAGAGGAAGGTTAGTGGGAGGGGATCTGCAAATGATGAGTGATAACCCCCATACAACACAGGGTAGGTCAAGTTTGCTTTTTGTCAGTTTATTTAGGGAATTTTCTATCGGTTTCTTGCAAATTTGAAATGTCCAATTCCCCTTTACTCCAGCTCAGGGTCTGGTGGTGGGTGAGGGATTTGCCCCTGTTCTTGTATAATAACTTTTAATCTTGCGTACAGTACTCTACCAGTCGCTTTGGCAGGAAATCAAGCCTCCATTAGATA